CCAAGACAATGTATTCCGGTTGAATCTTGGTTGACCTTGAATTTCAAAATGTAACTAATCACAGCTGGCAGTACAATATTTATGCTTGAGGATTTCTAATATGTGTGGTCAAAATGTTATAGCCCAGTGGGTCAACCTAGGTCAACCCAAGTAGTGGACACTGAATGTTTTCATGCCAAGCATGAAAATCTCAACCACAGTTTGTGTGGACAGTACCATTATTAAAATAGTCTATTAATTCTAACTTAAAATCTACCTCCACTTTAATGGTCTAATGTATTGTTTATTACAGTTCTCCATAGCTGCCATTTGATGTTTGCATGTAAGTAAATTTTAATGTCAGTTTACTTTGTCAATAGTCAAAAGTCTTTCTTAGTCCAAGGTTGACTGTACCATATTTCTTTGTTGCCACTGTTACAAAACAGTGGCAACACTTGAATATAGAGGAATTTACAATGACTTCATTGTGGTCAATAATCACATTAGAATTGTTTATAATATTATTTTATTATCATTACTTTAAATTATATAAATTATATAATTTAATTCAGTGTAGTTATTGAATAGTCATCATCATAGTGTGTTGCTTCATTTGGGGCTTCAATTAAGATCGTCATTGTCATTGATGAAACTCAGTTGCAAGTTTCAAATCCATCTGTCAAATGATTCAAAATGTCAGCTAGATATATTTTTTTTTTTTATTTTCTATAGAAATTCTATAAGATATGAACGTTTTCTTATTGTAACATTTCATAGGAAAAAATGATAAGTGAGAGATATGAATGAAATTAGAAATGCATATTTTTAAAAGTATTTATGATAATTTTAAGTTAAGATATTTTAACAGTACTGTAATAATTTTATGTTGGTATCTCATTTCTAGATGCCAGTGAAGTTGTTCCAGTATCACTGTGTATGCTATGTAAGTATAACTAAATGACAAAATGATTTACAGTAATTATATATTTGAACCGTATAGCAGTCTACAGTCAGTGGCGTATCTAGCAGTATTAAAATTGGGTTGGCTGGTAAGAGGCCGCGTGGAATTTATTTGCAGTGGCCACGCCCACTGAAAAATATTGCTTCTTAGATTCCCGAATACACGTTAACCGTGACAGATATGTTAAAGTATATCTCTTGAACGCAGTATTTAAGAAGTGATACCATAATAAACAAAATGAAACTTTTATTGTCGATTACGATTTCTTGCCTTAATTAAAATTACCGGATTGTTTTAACAATAGATAGTTTTATTTTAAATAGGTTTACATCAACAATTATGCATGCACCAGGAAAATTACTATGTTTGACCTTTCGAGGAATCCTAATTACATACCTTGGATACGCCACTGTCTACAGTAGGCCTCTGCATTATATATAGGCCTATAACTATAATAGTTGTCGATTCAGGCAATGTTTACTGTAGTGCTCAGTGCTATGCAGAGTGGGATAATATGGTGATAGGAAGCTTGTATATCTTCTCTACACCTGTTTTATGCGCTAGGAAATCTTCAGAAGTGAAAGAATAAGATAATTTTACAGGCTTATGTATAGTTGAGCATGCAAATGGAGTATTATGTGTTTTTAAGTAGGAATTTGGTGATGTATCTGTATTTTGAAAGCAGGGCAATTCCATAAATTCGGACGTACATTTCAGACACTTTGTGAATCTATATTTTCATAACGAAGCTTACAATTTATTTTTTTAAAAGTTTGCATTACATCTACTGGTTAGTACTATCAGGCCAACAATTTTCATTTTTTAACTTGCATGCGTCACGGAGATACGGGTCAAAATGACACCGTGACGGACGTAATCAGAGAAAGTGACTTTTCCTACTTCACTATACTTTTTTTAAAACTCTGTGATGTGTGAGACATTTAAAAAAAAATATTTCCCTGTTGTTTTCCACTAATGTGTGGGCTCTCTAGCAGAATAAAAATTTATTTTAATTTTTTTCATTTTCTCTATGAAAACACCATAAAATTACTGTGACGGACGTACAATTTTATCGTGACGGACGTACTTGTCTGAATTGTGACGGACGTACACATCTAAAAATACAAAAATATCTACAATCTAAATTATTTTATTGATTAATTAATATACTGGTATGCTTATATGATATAAAAGTACAAAAATATACTGGATTTTACTTTTTTTTAATAATGAGTGTAAAATACAATGAATCAAATAATTTAGGTTATTTTGTGTCAAATAATCCTCAGTTAACCTCATTACCGTAGTAGCCAGACCATGTTTTGTATTCATTTGAGGTAAAGAGAATATTGACTTCATAAATTGGTTCAGGGTGGCCCTAGAATCATTTTGGCTTGGTAACATGTTTTTAAAATGTTGCAAAATGTCAAAGGTCAGGGTCAAAAGTCATAGTAATATGGCCCTTATATCTTCGCAACCACATGTGGTAGAGAGTTAAGTTTGGTGCCAAGTTGTTCAAAACATTTATATTTCTATTTAGGTAATTCCATGTCAAATCAACCAAAAAAAAAACCTCAATCTCTCGGATTTTGTTCAAATTTTTGTATGTTGTTGAGGCCCATGAGAAACGATCAGAAATGAAAAATTTTTTCTCTAGGCCTCCTAATTAGCAAGATATCTGCTAACGAACTTTTGGCTAATTAGCGATACCTTGCGTGTTTAACCGACCATATCTCGAAAAGTATGGCACCTACAGAGCTGATTTTGGTGTCATTTTAAAGCTATTGAGTAGCTCTATAACTTTATTAATAAATGCTAAGTCCTCAATTCAAAATATAAAAAAGTTATGACAGGTTGTAAAGTTCAAAGTTGAATAAAAAAAATATATATCTTTTTTTTTTTTTGAAATTCATGTTAGAGATACCAAACTTTTTTGTGAGTGCCATAGAAATAAACAAGGCCAGGGGAGTAAACCCCCCACAGAAAATCAGGAGTATAGCCCTTTAGACGGTTAGGACAGTTAATTTCTTACCAGCAGCTTCTGCAACTAAACAGGGGCCAAATGTTGTGTTTGCACTCCTATGGACAACACTTGCGAGGTCAAGAGGGGGATCCTGCCATGGTCCAGGCTTTCATTCACAACACAGGAGATGCCAGTTTACGAGTTATAAGTCTAAATTCGATTGGTGTAAAAATTGGGCAGGTAATTTCCGTCTGTGTGGGAAATTATCGCATCTTACCGATCAGCTACCTCTCACCATAAGCCGGGCATCCACCGGTCAATTAGGTGCTGATTCCCTCACCATCACCTGGCTCAATGGGTGCTTGTAGCTTAGTGCATTGACAAGTGGATGGAAACCAAGCAACAAGGAAAACCTAAGCCTGGTTCTCATGAGAGCCCTAGTATCCGGTTCGGGAGCTAACCGTCAGCACCTGCGTGAAAACGCCCGATCGGTTAGCGCTCCGGTCGGAGGGACAAAGTGAAATTTTGATTTGACACTGATGACCGCATCCCAACTTTGATGTTTCCAGTGAGCTTCCAAAAACCTCCAAGCACTGCTTTTACACCATTTTTTTTCTTAGTTTTAATGTTACTTTTTACATATGATCGGTGTTGGGCCGCACACACAGGGATTTTTATTGATTTTCGCGGGCCGCAAAAGAATCGATGTCGGGCCGCACTTTGCCCACCTGTGGTCTAGACTTTGCTATCCTAAACACATTACTTAAGTTCGTGGATGCTCCATCTGATGGCAGTGAACGAATATTACAGATCCGCAGCTTCAGGATATGTCAATATCTAAAGTATCTATGCACTCCGGGTGCTAACAAAGGACAAGTTCTATGATGAATTACACCACCTAACTAAGAGAGTTCCTCCCTCTGAACAATTAATATTATTTGGCGATTTCAACGTGAGAGTATTACCTAGACCTACACTTTTTTTTTATAAGAACACTTTTTTTAAGAACACTGAGGTTGAAATTGCTTAAAAATTAAGAACAAAATAAGAACAAATTGAGGCTCAGGTAAAATGTCAAATGAGGTTTATATTTTTTTTAACATAGAAAAACCAAAAATTTATGTACCTTATGTGCAGTAGGTGTGACTATGTAACACACTCTATAATACAGTACAGTAGGCATACCTGTCATTTGGGGCCATTTTTTTCCGGGCCCTTTTTTCCAGGGGCCATTTTTATCTACTTTCCCGTACAGTAGTATCGTGCTTTACAAGAAAAATTTTCTATGTTTGAAAAGTGTGTAAAATAAGAACATTTTGAGCCTGAGTGTACTTCAATAACAGACCACAGCAAAGGGTTTCACAGAGATGGCATCAATTAGACCTTTGTGACAGTAGATCACTTTCTCTTTAAATGTTCTAAATTAAAAACAATTAGAGATTTAATATTTCTGAATGAAAAAGAGACCTACGTAACCATGACTTAGAAATTATACACTATACATGCTTAGACATTCACTGACTACTTCCATTTGTTGTTCTAATGATTTTAAACATTATTATAGGCCTATTTATCTGATATAGATGAAAATCTTTCAATGAATTTTGTACAAAATGCATTTAACAAGCATAGAATTTGAGATCAAATATCTATAAGAACATTAATATCTAAGTACCACCCATATTTTAAGCTGCTTATTTTCTTATTTATTATTTTTCATTATTTTTAGTTAATTTGTATAATGATACATTGTCATTTTGCTTTATTTCTGTATAGTTCGTATTGATTTTGGTAGTTAAGTTATTTTTCTTTTCAACACTGTTGATTTTTCTCTTTTGGATACACCATCATTTTGGATGTGTGCCACTGTAATAAAAGTAATTCCTAATAAAAACTAAAAAACTAGCTCTAAATAGTGACAGAATACCACAGAGCTGATTGCGATATGGATCATTACTTGGTCTGTAGCTAAGTTAAATACCTACCAAAAAAGATTCATTTATCAAAACCAATTGATGTTAGCAAGGTGACAGACCCTACTACTACAGCATGAGCATGTTCTTTCCAGTTGGAAAAACACCCATGTAGTTCCAGTCTTTAATGGTAAAGGTGACAGGTCTTCCTTTAGTTCATATCGCCCTATTTCACTCACATTTATTGTCTGCAAACTAATATAAAGAATTTTACACGATCATATCTTCTTTTTCTGCTCATCTCATTCACTTTTGTCCTCACAGCAATTTAGTTTTTGACCAGGATTTTCATGCAACACACTCTTAATTAAAATATTTGATGAATGGGCTAGGACACTGGATGTTAACCAGCCCCCTGACATGCATCCATCTTCCTGGATTGGTCAAGTTCGTTCGATCAGTGCCATCAGCGGTTGGATTCAAGATTTTTTAATTAATCGCTTACAGTGTTGACTACTGTGGAAGTATTTCTGAGCCTATCCAAGTTGTGTCCGGAGTACCACAGGGATCTATAATCGGTCCCCTTCTTTTCAACCTTTTTACAAATGATTTGCAATGTGTTTTATCACCCGTCTAGACATCTGCCTATATGTATGCTGACGAAACTGTAAAATCAACATAAGAAGCTTTTCTACACCAGAATGATCTTGATAGTGTTGTCTCTTGGAGTATGAACAATGGCATGCAACTAAACCCTAACAAATCAGTTGTTTTACCTATTTCTCGCTGATCAATCCCGTTTCATTGCAACTACAATATCCTAGGTTCTGAATAAACTTTCGTTAACAATTACAAATATCTTGGTGTCATAATTCAGTCAGACCTTAAATGGCATTCATATATTCATTTTATCTGTTCCAAAGCTTCTAAAACCATTGGTTTCATTAAACGCACTGCTGGTCGCTCTAACATTTCATCCATGTTGTACTCTAGTTTATGTCGCCCAATTTTGGAATATGCCTGTCCAATTCCAAATCCATATATGAAACTTAACATTGAAAGATTTGAGATTCAAAAAAACTTCACCTGGTAGTTAGCCAATCAAC